AGAGCCATATAAATAGGCTCCACATGACAACAAGTACAAAAGCCTAATATGCCCCTTGGGCTACAAAAGCAAACAAATACCCACAAGGGTAAAAATGGAAAAAATGAGTAATACATAAAATGCAAATACAAATAATCATCAGTAGTAAAGGCTCTCCATCATGGCCGTCGATCTCCGGTGTCGTCTTTGATAAACGCGTCAGAATCTCCTGTCGATGTCCCCATCAAAAAGCTTTACATCAATCTTAAAAAGTGTTCCTTCATAACTTCGAGCTTGACATTTTTGGGTTTTATTATTTCTGCTGTGGGAATAAAAGTGGATCCGATAAAAATAGAAGCAATTCAAAATTGGCCCTCCTAAAAACATAAGTGATGTGAGAGGATTTCATGGCTTAGCTTCTTTTTATAGAATATTTATTAAGAACTTCAATTCTCTGATTGCTCATATTACTGATTGCTTAAAAAAATAATATTTAGGTGGACACCTCAAGCTGAAAAAACTTTTGAAATTATTAAGGAAAAAATGAGGCAAGCTCCCATTCTTAGCTTGTCAAATTTTGAAAACATTTTTGAAGTTGATTGCGATGCTTCACATATTAGTATTGGTGTTGTGCTTAGTCAAGAGGGGAAACATGTTGCTTACTTTAGTAAAAAACTGAATGAAACTAGATCCAAATATTCTACTTATGATTTGGAGTTTTATGCTATTATCCAAGCTTTGAAATTCTGGATGTGTTATTTGATTCAAAGGGAATTTGTTTTAAATACTGATCATGAAGTACTTCATTTTTTGGGCTATCAAAAAAATTTGAATAAAAGGCATGCCAAGTGGGTTTGATTTTTGCAAGAGTATACATTTCATATCAAATATAAAGCTGATATTTTAAACAAAGTTGCTGATGGTTTAAGTAGGAGATCTCATTTGTTGGTAACTGTTTATCCAACTATCACTTCTTTTGATTTTTTGAAAGATACCTATGCAAGTGATTGTGATTTTAAGAGTATTTGAAATTCTTGTCTTGTTTTGAAACTGATAATTCTGCTCAATTTGTTATACACCAAGGTTTTTTGTTTAAGGGATCTAGACTTTGCATATCTAAAAACTCTTTAAGAGAACATGTGAAAGAGCTTCATAGTGGAGGTTTGGGTAGACATTTTGGGCAAGGGAAAACTATTGCTTTGGTAGAAGAAAAATATTTTTGGCCTCATATGAGAAAGCAAATTGCTAAGTTGGTAAAACAATGTAAAATATGTCAGGCTTTCAAGGGAACTTCACAAAATTCTGGTTTGTATACCCCTCTGTCTATTCCTAAAAAAACATTGGGAGGATATTTCAATGGATTTCATTTTGGGTTTGCCTGTTACTATTCGAAAATTTGACTCTGTTTTTGTGATGGTGGATCGCTTTAGCAAAATGACACATTTTATTCCTTGCAAGAAAACTTCTAATGCCTCTTACATTGCTGATTTATTTTTTAAAGAAATTGTTCGTCTTCACGGTATTCCACATACTTTTACTTCTGATCGGGATACTAGATTTTTGAGTCATTTTTAGAGAACACTTTGGGCAAAACTTGAGACTACTCTTCAATTTAGTATTGCATATCATCCTCAAACTGATGGGCAAATTGAAGTTGTCAATCAAATTTATTAAGGTGTCTTGCTGGAGAAAAATGGGATTTAGTCTTACCTCAAGCTGAGTTTGCTTACAATAATTTTGTTAATCGTTCCACTAGTAAAATTCCTTTTGAAATTATTTATGGACAACCTATTCTTCACATTTTAGATAGAAATTGCTTGCCTTTACCTAACAAAATTAGTGCTGAAGCTTTTGAAACTTTTGATCACATAAAGACCGTCCAATAGCAAGTCCTTGAAAAACTCCAAAAAACTAATGCTAAGTGCAAATCTGCTGCTGATAAACATCGGAGAGAGGTTATTTTCAATGAGGGTGACTTGATTATGGCTTACTTTCGTCGCCAACGATTTCCTGTTGGTACTTTTAGAAAGTTAAGCAGAAAGAGATTTGAACATTTTCGAGTGATTCGAAAATTAGGCATAAATGTCTATATGTTGGATCTACCTATTTTTGTTGGCACTTCTCCTGTATTTAATGTTTCTGACCTTTCTTTATATGAAGGAAATTCTGACGATTCTGTGGAAATTGATACTTTGCCACTCACCACTTCTATGACAAAAACTGAAGAACAGGTTGAAGATATTATTGATGTCAGAATTTCTAAAACAAGGCATGGTGAGCATAAGAGGTTCTTGGCAAAATGAAAAAATCATCCTCTGACCGACTGCACTTGGATGGACGCTAATGAACTAAAACGGCGTCATCCTGATCTTTTTCAGAAAGTTACTGAAGCTTTCTCATCTGGAGATGAGACTCTCCCACCAGCGGGGAATTGATGAATTCATAATTTTTGTATTTTCATTTATTGAGAATATTGATCATTAGTTTTTCATTTAGTTTATATTTTTTTAGCTATCCAATGAGGGAAGACATCCAATGATCATGGTAGGTTGTGATTGGGCTTTGGTAGAACTTTGATTTGCTAGCTTGTTTGGGTCCCTTGGGCTACTGCTGGTTCTCGATTTTGAGCTGGATTTGATGAAGGGAAGTGGTGGTTACTTTGGTGATGAGCTTTATTTTCTACTAGCTCATTAATGTTGAGCTGAAGTTAGTTCATTAATTGGAAGAGTTATTGAACTTTCTAGCTCATTATTCCAAAAAGGTATGCTTTAATTCAAGGATTCAATTTGGAGTGAACTTGCCTCTTCTCCTCCCCTTTGTCTTCTCGTTTTCCTGTGCTGGCTGTTTTCCCGTGCATTGCCCCTTTGGTTTCCGTGGCTGGCTGCTTGGTTCCTGTGGTTGGCTGCTTGGTTCCCGTGGGTGGCTGCTTGGTTCCCGTGGCTTCTCTTCTCTATTTTGTTGTACCGTATGGGGGTTGATGTGTTGTGACTGTTGACCTTTCATTTCCCTAAATCTAATTGGTTTAGTTGGAGGTGCTATGGCTGTTTAGTTCCCCTCTCTTTCCTATATAAAGAAGATGTTTTATGAAGGAGAAGGTTATTGAATTTTGTTGAGCTTAGTCTCTAAAAACCTAAGGGTTTTCTCTTGGAAAAGCTTGAGAGCTTTGTCCACTTCTTCTTCTTCTCCATTTCGTCTGGGCTTCTTACCTCTTTCTTCTCTCCGCAAGTTCCACTCCATTTGTATCCTTCCTCTTGAGCTTTGGAAGTATTTGTTGGCTGATTTTGGAGCATTTGCCGGATGAGTTTGGTTGGACGTTTGGACCTTCTTGCTGTGGTGGACCATCGGTTTGCTAGCCCTAAGCACATACTATACTTAACCTATATTTCGATGCATGTGAGGAAACCGTTCTATCGGTTGTTCTGAGGACAGCGTCTTTTTAATTTTCTTTTGTTTCTTTTGATCTCACTTCTCGTTTTATCCGTTGGTTTTTGTGTTTTAGATGATTGCTACTATTTGAATCGAGTTTGGTTGTAGTTTTGCCCATCGTTCTCCTTATATGTGGTTTTCTATCTAGTTTGTCTACATCAAAAATCAAATGATCTGTTCTGGAAATAATATGATATTACATGTAAGGTTGCATCTAAAATAACATTTGAACATCAACAGGAACTATTATTTGAAAGTGAGCTTGAAAAGAATCTAAATTTGAACCTAAACTAGATGTAGAATCTCAATTCAAAATAGAACTTGCACTAAATTTTAAAACAAAACAAAAAATTTTATCTAAATTTGAGTTTAAAATTGTGCTCAAACATTCATTTGTTTTAGCTCTTCATAAATTATTTTCAAATTCATTCCTCTACGATAAATTAAACATATTGGTTTGATTTTTTTTACTTGAGATCATATGAATGAGCTGAAAAAAATCTATGAAAGTTACTAACCCTTTAAAAAACATATTGAAGAATTATTAGTAAGGGTTTAACAATAAAAATATTAACTTTAATGCACCAACAAAAGCCTTCGTTGTGTCATACAAAACACAAACACCATTAATATGACTAACTTTTATTAAGAAATCCATTTTTTGTTGTAAAATCAAACAAGTAGAAGCCTTGTTGAAGCCAAATTTCCAATGTCTATTAAATGATTGTAAGCTATTATGAATATTTATCTGTGCTAAATTGTGGATAATTTTTAAATGATGAATGAATGCCTTGTTCACCTATAGCAAACCATAATATAAAAAGACACGACATTAGGAGAAAGAAAAAAAAAAGGCACAAGTTCCAAACTGCAATTTTGTTTGGAACTTCCCAAACCACACACACAAAGTGGAAGAACTAGATTCAAGTCGTCCTGATGACCATTAAACAAAATAAATGGAGAGTGGAAGTTCCCCAAATCCATTCTGGTAAAAAAGGGCTCTACAATCTCAAATAAATATATAAAGAGAAAAGCATCAAAATAGTCTCTTGACTTTTTATGAATGACCAAAATGATCCCCAACTATATTAAAGGATCATTTTGGTCCTTAAATCTTTAAAGAGGAATCAAAATAATCTCATGGTGGCACTATTTTAGTTCCTCTTTAAGGAGTTGATGGATCAAATTGATCATTTAATATATTTAATAACCATTTTTATCTTTCATAAGGAGTCAAGGGAACATTTTGATCCATTTTTCGATATCTAAAGAATAAATTTCCTATAATATTGACTAAAAACCAGGTGATTCACTAAGTCATATTTCTTATGTTCACACATGACAAAAGACACGCTGGAAATTCAGTCATAATTCATAAACTTGCACTACTTTAAACAAAAGAAAAACCAATAGAACATACACTAATTTACAGTAATTTGATAAAGTACCATAAAGAAAGATTTTATCATAATCATCATTGATGCAAATCATTTTTGTGGCAGGAAGAAAGCTCTAAGAAATCAAAATAAATATAATGTAGTGTTATAAATATAAATGTGCAGTAAACATTTGCATAACATAGCAATGAAATTAACCTCTAGCAGAGAATCTTGTACTTCTTTTGACCTGCCCATCTGTATGCGTGATAGTAGTTCCTGTTGTCTCCATCCAGTAAAAATTCGCTGCCCCTGAATGCATTTTCTACTCCTTGACTTTCTACATTCTGCCCATCTGCGATACGCATCAGAGCGATAGAAATTTCCATAATAGAAGGATAAAACATCTTTCATATCCTTGCACGCAATAAATTTCCTCACTTGAACCAGATTTTTACCAAAAATGTATAGACCAAGAAGAAAGCACTGGATCTCATCCTCACTCCATAAAGAAACTCGAGATTCAGGTAAAGGACAGCATCCTTTGCACGCATTAATCTGATTGGTGGGACACGTATATGCTTTGTTGCTGTCCAACGTACTTCCAATTCTTTCAGCTTTTAATGCTGAACTTGAAGGAGGCAAGGGGTTACTACTGAAACCATCAGCTGAGCATCTACTCACCGAAGTGTACTTGCAATAATCTTTTTGTTCTTTTTGGTTATCCTCAATGTGAACCCACATTATTGGGATGCTTAACACAGTTTTAGAAGGGAATTCAAAGGCATGAAGGTCTTGTGACTCGGCCAATATGCATGGAATTTCCGCCTGGTAATCATCTCCTAAGCAAGGGGAAAATATGGGATCTCCAAATATGTCATCAGTAGAAGCAGAAACGGGAGAAGATGGATTGCTTGAGGATGGTTGCGCAATACACTTCTCATTTTGACTTGCTAATTCCTCACTCCGGTTTACCTCAATCAGATTCATCTGCCAAGATATTGAAGAGGACAAAGAAGGTCCCATCAATGTAACTCTGATGAAAATTTGACACGACGTGATCAACAATAGCTAACATATGTCAATAAAGTTTTAACAACCCAACATTCAGCTCAGATGTCAACCATACCTGCCAATTAATCAAAATATTTCCCACTTGACCAAGTTCTCCCAAGAGAGACAATTTACATGGAACCATCCACGAATCTTATTGAAAAACAGAACTAGACAAACTTCAAACCATAATGGAAAAAACAAGGACTTATTATTCATTTAAGTTTTCAAGTGCTGCATACAATTGCGATATTGAAAAATGGTCACACATTCCAGTTCTCTATGTTTTCTCAATCAACCCAGAGGCTACATGATGTAGAACGGAATTGATGGCAGCCACCCAAAGAAAGAAGATACCAAGGTTCCTGTGGTGGTTTGAGGGTTTGAGAGGAAGTAAACATCGAGTGGTGGCTCCTTGGCATCTGGATAACAACCCATTTCGTTCTCGAACCTTTGGACAGCACATAGAAAATCTGGGACAGCAATTTGTGGTCTTTCAAAGTGCTGGACAGCAAGATATTCTTGCTGGAATAAGTGGACAGCAAGCAGAATTTCAGGAATGCAGCAGTTTTGACACTGGACAGGACCTGGACAGCAACCAAACAATAGGAGCAGCAAATTTGGACGTGTGGAAGGCTCTGGACAGCAGGTCCTCAAGCTTCCGATCCTGGACAGCAACTCACTTCAGGGGAAAACAAAAATTTGGCTGATCCGTTGAAGGGAAGGAGGTGGAGTAGGGATCCGAGCTTTCCTTGAGGCTCTCTCCTCCCAAGAATTAATTCAGGAATTGATTTAATTGGGGTGAGGGAAGGAGATGATTTGGATTTAATTCCAAAGGGAGAGTCATGATTTTTGGAAAGAAATAAAGGAGGTGGGGCCTTGAGAATTTCGGCCAAGAGAGAGAGAGAGGGGATGAGATGTCTAGGTGCAATGAATGTGGAGGAATTAAAATTAATTGAATAATCAATCTCAGATTTGTGATTGATTGCTAATTAAAGGGGCTTTCCAAACTTAGGCCATTTTATTTAGGAAGGTGTTAGAATTTCAAATTCATTTTGAATTTGAATTCAAATTCTTTCCTAAAATTCAAGTGGTTAAATATGGAATGTATTAATGAGGAATTTTAAATCCAATCCAATTAGAGATTAATGTGGATTTTGAAAACTTTCCAAAAATAGAGTTCTAAATTTGGAAAGATCTCAAAATTCAAATTTGATTGAACAATCGAGGTTTCCCAAATGCGGTTTGGTGGAAAAGGTAAGTAGGGAGGATGATTTGAAATTTTGGAGGCAAAGGGGATTGGGATATGGCCGGCTGCTAGGTTAGGGCTTGGTGGTTGTTTGGGTGGGGAGGATGGATAGCCGAGTGGGAAGGAGGGTTGATTGGCTAGGGAAGTGAATTGGTGAGGGGAGGCCTGTAGTTGGGGTGACCAGTGGGAGGAGATGGATGAAGATGACGACTAGGAGCAATAAGAAGGAACAAAAAACAAAGAAATAAAATATTAAAGATGCAACTGCGAGCCCGGACACATCCTGCGGCTGACGGGTACTACGTTGCCCTTCTCCAATGGACTTCACGCCACGAGCCCGGACCCATCCTGCGGTTGGTGGAAACTCTGATTCCCTCCCATAGGAATCTCACCCAAGTTCTCTCCAAAGAACACAAGTGCAAAGAAAATTTTATTTCTTAATAACTCATCATCCCTAATACAATAGCAAGAGCCTCTATATATAGGCTTTAAAAGAAATTAAAAGACAACTTTGCCCCTTGGGCTTACATAAGACAATACTCTTAAATAAGGGTAAAAACGACAAATGTAAAACTAAATCAAAATACAATTAATAAACTAATAAAAAAGGAGTGATCTAAACCGTAGATTTTCGTCTCTTCTTTTGATTAACGTCCACCGTCGGATGTCCGCATCACTACAACTTAAACATATGTGAACCTATTATCACATAGATAGACTAAATTCTCATAATGAAAGCAAAAGAGCATAAGGTTGCATCTGACATGAAAACAAACCAATGAAACAGCATTTTTCGGAACCATGCACCACACATATGCTTTAGGAACTTTAAGAGAATGGCTAAATACATTTAAGAAAATATCATAGAAGAAAATGTAAGAAAAATGTATGCACTTGTGCAGTAAGCAACTATTCTGCATTCTCCCTATCACACCCCATTTTGACCCCATACAATCAATTTAGAGTGTAATGGACAAAGAAAATATGAACAAACATTCTTCTTACTTACACCCATTCTGAAACACTGATATCAAAATCAAATGAGTAAGAAGTAGCATATTCAAATTATCCCAACATATCTAATCATATCAAGATTTATACTTCAAAACAAAAAGCATATGAAATATACCTCAAATAAAAAGCACATCTCAATTGAAATACAAAGTTTTACTAAAATTTTTGAAATTTAACTACAATACCGAAAAGTTTGTACAGTTCCTAATCAAATACACTCAAAGTGTATGTACACAAAAGAGTGATCAACTGTCATGACTACTACCCCACTGGATCATTCCCCTTTCTTGCAATACAACTACTACTAATGGGCTAGAGCTCAATAAAATATATGAGCAATATATAAGAAATAATAATTGACAATTGATTTAAAACACATATAAATTTCATAGTGGTCATAAGAAATGCATAACATCATTTTCTGTCTTGTTTACTATTCAACACATTTATACAAGTCATATAATAGTTATGAGCTTTTGCACCCTTCAAGCTTTCTAATTCAAAGTTGGGTCAAAACTCTCAACTTTTAGAATTGAAGCTGATCTCATGATGCAAGCAAAAATTAGGAGGAAGCCCCTAATTTTTGCAAGCAAAAACTCAAGCTTCCTAAGAAATAGAAATTACACAAAAATTCTCAAAACTAGACAAAATACCACGAAATAGAACTTTTATAAGATAAAATGACTCTTACAAATTTTGACATAAAATTAAACACCTAAACTTGCATTCCATCCATCGAGAAGAAAGATACTGGTGAGGTGGACACTTGTGGATAGAAGAAGGAGATAAGAAGTCAAGACGAAGGAGGAGGACAAGCTTGCAAGCTTTCCTAGGAGAAGAGATGAATGGAACAAGCTCGCAAGCTTTTCCACGAAGAAACCCGTAGGTTTTGTCTTCCAAAAATCACATTATATCTTCTCTTTTTTTTTTTTAAGAAAGGAAGACTCACAACCTAACGCTCTGATGCCAAATTGATGCAAGAAAAAATTAGGAAGACCCCCTAATTTTTGCAAGCAAATACAAATGCTCTTCCTAGGATATAAAAAAAGGATACAAAGACACTTTTAAAATAACATAAAACAACAACTTTATAACATATAAAAAGGCTCTTATAAGTTTTGACGCTTACAAACGCAAAATAAAAACATACACTTAAACTTGCTTTTTCTTGAGAAGAAAGATACAAGTGGAAGGGAACTTGCTGAGAGACGAAAGAGATAAGAAGACGATATGAAAGGAGGAGAGATCGTAAGCTTTCCTAGAAGAGGAGTAGAAGAGGTGGAACAAGCTAGCAAGCCTTTCCAAGGAAACCTGCAGGTTTAGCGCCAAAAATTTATTTCATAGCATCCTTTTTTAATACAAAACACCTACTATTTATAAAAGAGAACGGGGAGCAAAACAGCCACATAAAACCTTCATCCAAACCAACCATGTAAGGGGAAGAGGAAGGGCAATAGTTAACATAAAATAGCTCCCAAAAATCAGCACAGGAAACGGAATGGAGAAGCCACAGATCAGCTCAGGAAATGGAATGGAGAAGCCACGGGAACACAGCCAGGAAATCTTAATCATATTTTTTAATCATATAAATACGTTAAAAAATTGCGGGTGAATAGTGAGACGACATATTTGACGTCGCACTGTTCCCCCATCACCCGATTAGTAATTTTTTTGGCTTTCAAATGGAGCAAATCAGCTACGTCTTATAGCCGTTTGAAGTTTCGCTGGAGATGCTCTTAAGATTTATAGATAGAAAAAGGTAGCCAATGACCAACCTTAATCATATTATAATGCAGGTGCGATAGGATAATATGGAGGAGTGCAAGGAAGAAAAATAGGAAAGGATGGTGAAAGAGAAATTCTCGATATTCCATTTCATATTAACAAAACTACTTATGACACGTATCAGACGAAAAAGTTCCAAAACTTAAAGTATCTATAAAAAGAAAAAAAATAGATGCATGCATGATTTAAAAAATGAATTCGAACTCTCCAATACCTCCATCTATTGTACATAAAATAAATTAGTACATACAAATTGAATAAAGATAACAACAGCAACTAAAAGTAATATTTGTTAAAGAAAGTTTGTTTAGAAAAAATACAATATATTTTCTCTTTTACCAGCTTTGGTCAAGGAAAGTATCAGCCTACTCAATATGCTTAGGGAGTAAGAAAATAAACACATAAAAATACATTAATTCCTTTACTTCTATATGAGAAACATAAACCGCATAATCTTCACCTCCCCCATCTCCAAATTCAAAGATATGAAAAAACAGAAGAAAGAAAAAAAATGAAAAGAAAATAACACTAATTTTGTTGTCCTATTTCCATTTAGGCAAATTTGGTTGCTTGCAAATAGAAAACCTATCCTATAAAATGAGCATTGGGAGATTCCACCGTTTAGTTTAATGAAAATCTAACTTTGGTTTTAAACGTCACAAATGTTCCTTTCATGCAAAAAAAAGAGAGAAAAAGAAAAAAATCAAGACTCTCAAAATAACCGTCAATCAAACAGTAGATTTGAAATTGATAATACCACTACCTCCAAATTCCAACCATACAGGTTGAAATAGTTTTAGGTTCCAAAAAACATGGTTTGTAATTCCTGGTAGTTTTTGATATGCAGCCAAACAAATAAGCCTTTAAGTAGCTCTGCCGAGGTTAGTCA